TTTTCCTTTCCTGTTTGCTCTTTTGAAATAGGAGTTTGATGTACTATGTAGGCATAGTCTGACTGATTCTCTTTCCAAACCATCCAGTTTCCTTATTGTTCCCTGTTTTGGAAAAGAGACTGAAGAAACGTGATACAAATTCTGAATTAAAGGAATAGTTCAGGCCATACAAGGTGTATATGCTTTTGTTTCTTCAGCTGAACAGATTTGGAGAAATTTAGCATTAAATCACTTGCTCACCAATGGATCCGCTGCAGTGAATGGGTGCCGTCAGAATGAGAGTCCAAACAGCTGATAAAAACATCACAATAATCCACAAATAATCCACATGACTCCAGTCCATCAATTAACGTTTTGTGAAGTGAAAAGCCATGTTTGTTTAAGAAATAAATCCATCATTAAGCCATTTTAAACTGTCGCTTCTGGTCAAAATACGAGTTCATAAACCAAAATATTGCTTCCTCTAGTGAAAAAAGTCCATCCCCTGTTCTCCTCTCACATCAAAATCCACTGACATATTATTTGTTTAGAACTCTTTTGGACTGTTTTTGCTTGTAAAAAGTGCTTGATCTGTGCATATTTCTCTTCTGATTCAGATGAGATGACTTTTTCAATGAAAAAAAGCAACGTCTTAGTGATCGATTTGTTTATTAGAAATATGCAGCTTTTCACTTCACAAGACATTACTTAATGGACTAAAGTCATGTGGATAACTTGTAGATTATTGTGATGTTTTTATCAGCTGTTTGGACTCTCATTCTAACGGCACCCATTCACTGCAGAGGATCCATTGTTGAGCAAGTAATGTAATGATAAATTTCTTTCAAATTTGTCCAAATCTGTTACAATAAAGAAACCAACTCATCTACATCTCAGATGGCCTGAGGGTAAGTACATTTTCAGCCAATTTTTTTTTTTGGGTGAACTATTCCTTTAAGCTTTGTGTTGTTATAGATAGATGTAAGTGAGTGGCTGACTGCTGTACAGACGTGCTGGAGACGATCTGTGAACTTCAGGTTAAGCTCTGTCAGCTGATACCGCTGCCTCTGTGCGCTGTTAGTTTGCCGTTGGGTTTCCTCATTAGTCTGGGCGCACACATGGGAATGGAAATCAATTATTTAATGCAATCACAATGATTTATTCATGATGCCGACCCATCATGAGGAATCGCCTCACCGGGTAGGAAAGAGCTCAGCATGCTTTGTGGTGAAAGCTGGCCAAATGGTGGAAAAACACCAGTCATTCAACCATCGTCCTTTGTGCATTTGTGTTAAAGGCAATCTGAATTACTGTTTTCAACTCGTTATACTACATTTTAGAGTAAAACAGTGAGAACAAACATAGAGTAGAATATAGAACAGGACTTGATTTTGTCTATTTGAAATTATTTCAGTTATTAAAAGTGGGCGTTATATACCAGATTTAGCCTGACCACATGCACATTTATTAAAACAATGCTTAGCTGTTGGATAGAAACATCTACACCTTCTTCAGTACTCATTTTTTCTTAGGGATATGTCTGTCAGATGAAACGTATCTCTTAACCACACTGGATTGTCTTAGTATGCTGTGAAATGTGCTGTGTTAAAGGGAGGTGTGGCTCTAGCATTTTTGTGTGGGATGCTTGTTCTCTGGAACGTGTTAGTTGAAGGCAACACAAAGCGTTGTGACAGGCCGAATGAGTCTGTGCTGATTGGCAGAGCACCTCAGGTCTACTTCTGTGGCCCAACTGACATTCATAGAATGCTGGCGGGTCGTTAAGGGTCAGAGGTCGCACATGCTTGAGATTACAGCTTCGCTGTATCCTTGTTATTAGGAAAACAAGGCCCACTGCTTCTTGTCTAGCCTTAGTTTAGGTTCATTTAGAGTCTTCTGAAGACTGCGGGCTGCTGCTAAGTATCCCATCGGAGTTGAAATATCCGGCGGATTCCTCAGCCGTCTTTTTTCCCCTCTCCGCTGCATTCTGTGGTTTGGCATTCCCTCAAAAACATTCCATCTGTGGGGGTTGGACCGGGAAAGTCTGATCCTTCTAGTGAGGGGAAAAAAAACAAACACGTGGAGGAAAGTGGGAGGGTTGAAGAAAGGCCCTGTTAGCATCTGCTGCAACTTCCAGTGAAAGTGTATGATGGTTTAGGTGTTCATGTCCAGCCAGTTTTATCGCAGCAGAGTGCTTGTCTCTACCTTACAACTTAGGAATAGTTTCTTATTTTAGCTGTAGAATCAATCCCCTTTGGCTGTCTTGTCCTGCCCAGCAAGCTCGTTTTTTTTTTTTTTGCTCTCCACTGTGGTCTGTTCTGTTAAGCAGTCCTGAGTCTTTTGCCTGAGGCTGACCGATAGCTCTGAGGCTCTGTCCTCAGGTGATGGACTTGTAACAGTAGTATGTGAGCACAGCTGTCTGTCATGCTGTCAGGACTGTGTGTGTTCTGTGTGGTCAGTCTTGTGTGGGACCCTTGAGCCTGGAAAAGGGAAGTGCAAATGCTGGCATCAGCATTTGCAAGTATTTGTATTTGTCAAAATACAAGTCAATAATAAACGCTTCCTCCAGTGAAAAAGTACGTCCCCTGTTGTCTTTTCACATCAAAATTACTTGACATTTGTTTTGAACTGTTTTGGACTGTTTTTGCTTGTAAATGGTGCTTGATCTATGCTTATTTCTCTTCAGATTCAGATTGGATGATTTTTTTTTTCTGGAGAAAGCAGACTTGCCGTAATTTAGCCAGAAGCAACTGTTTGAAGTTAAAAACTGACGAATTTGTTTATTACAAACATGCAGATTTTGTTTCACAAGACGTTAATCGATGGATTAGATTATTGTGATGTTTTTATCAGCTGTTTGGACTCACTCTTATGGGACCCATTCACTGCAGAGGATCCATTGGTGAGCAAGTGATACAATGCTAAATTTCTCAGTTTTCTTCATATTTTAATTATTGGGTTATCTGTTCCTTTGAATAAAAGTGACAAAATCCCAAAAGTAAAATGTAGTAGTAAAATGTTAAGGGAACTATTGTGATTGAGGGTGGATGTGGTAAAGCAGGGGGCCTCTTTGCCTATTTGAGTTGAATGTCTGCAGGAAATGTCAATCCCAGTGCCCAATCTTTAGGGTGGAGTGATAGTGTAGGAGTGTAGGAGATTAGAGACAGGACAAGACATGGGACAAACCTTTCCACCAAACAGGATGTGTAATGTGGCATGAGGCGATACGGAGTGGAAAGAAAAGACACGGTGGATGTCTTCAATTGCACACTGCTATTAGTGTGTGTGAGAGAAATGCAAACCACTGCATACTCTGATAAATGGTTTGTTGATATTACTGTTGATCCGATGTTTGCGTCTGATCGGTGTGTGCTCACATTTATAGGCCCATTGGAGATGTTCAGACTGGTCTTATAGGTTTCAGTTGATTGCCATTTTAATATTATATTGCCATATCAGGCATGTACAAAGCCTGCAGGCCTGATGATAACTTTATTATTGTGCAGAAGTTCTTGTAAGAGCCTTTAGATTGTTCACTACTGCATGGTGGCCTGTTTGCAGTCTGTTCTCATGGGCCTGCCCTTTTCACCACTGTCCCCTCTTTGTGCCTGCTTTCCCATCATGCCTCTGACACCTTCTACCTCAGAGCCTGATCCTGCTTGTCAGCCTTTTATGTTAATATGCAGTCTTTGTGTCCTAGTGTCATGCTGTCCAAAAAAACATGCTGTCCTCTTCTAGTATATAAATTGGTTGATCATTCTAAAAAGGAAGTGACGGCACCTTCTGTTTCACGTCATAAGTTAATCAAGTCTTCATGTGGAAATCAGACTAAAACATGCACAAAAATATGAATACTACCATCATTGTCATTGTACATGCCTAAATTGATCCACTCTCTGTCTTGTTACACCTGAGTGCATATTTTTGGCAGTAACATTTTCCTGCAGTGTAAGGGAAAAGGGTGCTTGTAACCATGGTGATGCCTGCAGCAGACATATTCATGACTATTCTTAAATTCATGCCCTCTGGCCTTCCTGAACACCTCCTTTTACCATCTCCTTGTTCCAGCATCGCTCTTCTAACTGCTTTTTTGGGCATGAATCCCTCTCCTCTGGGACTTGTTGTTCAGTGTGGTTGGTGAGCGTGGCCTGTATTTACCCCGGAGTCTCTAGAGAGCTGCTCCAGGTGGAAGTAATAGCCGTCTGTCTTTAGAGCTCTAAAAAGCACTCAAACCCCCAGAGATTTAATGTCCTGAGTAGATTCGTACAGCTGATGTAGTGTTTTTCATGCATTTATATTTGTTTTATGTGTTAAATGTCTTTTATTTGTGTTTATTTGTTTAGGTTTTATTTATTTTTTTGTTCCTGTTTTTCTTTGTTTTCATTCATTCATTCATTTATATTTGTTTTATTAGTGTTAAATGTATTTATTTATTTTCAGTTGTTTTGTTTTATTTGTTTATTTGTTTAGGTTTTATGTATTTTCTTCATTCTTTCTTTGATCTCTTTCCTTATTTATTTATTCATTCATTCTTATGTTCTTATTTTTGTACCAATTTATTTTTGGTTTCATTTGTTATTAGTTTATTTATTGTTTATTTTGTTATTGTGTTTTTTTTTATTTGTGTTGCATTTATTTATTTATATTTGCCTTTATTTGTGTTTATTTGTTTAGGTTTTATTTTCTTTATTTCTTTCTTTTCTTCTGTCTATCTATCTATTTATTTTATTTTATTTAAGTTTTTATTTATTCATGTCTGGTTTTATTTTTTTATTTGTTTAGGTTTTATTTATGTTTGTGTATTTTTGTTTTTGTTTATTTTAAAACATGTAAAAAAAAAAATATATATATATTTTTAAAAGTAATTAAATTGACAGACTTAATATTTTTAAAATGTGTTCATTCTTATATATTATATCAGATTAACATTGCCAGATATAGCCAGAATTTTAGTATTGCTAGTTTGTTGCAAGCGACCGTTATTTACATAAGCTTTATCTCTTATTCATTTTTTTTATCTGTAGCATCTCCAGATGACCATCCAGGCCCTCCAGGATGAGCTGCGGATCCAGAGAGATCTGAACCAGCTGTTCCAGCAGGACCCCAGCGTTCGTCCCGGCGAGCCCCTGACTGCCGAGCTGACCGAGGAGAACTTCCAGCGGCTGCACGGTGAGCATGAGCGGCAGGCCAAGGAACTGTTCCTCCTGAGGAAGACTCTGGAGGAGATGGAGCTGCGCATCGACACACAGAAACAGACGCTCTGCGCTCGAGACGAATCCATCAAGAAGCTCCTGGAGATGTTGCAGAGCAAAGGGCTGTCGGCCAAGGCCAGCGAGGAGGACCACGAGCGGACACGGAGGCTGGCTGATGCTGAGATGCATATCCATCACATGAAAAGCCTTTTGGAGCAGAGAGAGAAGGAAATGGTCTTTCTGAGAGAGGTGAGAGTGCTAGTGAACCTCAGAAAACCATCAAACAACACTTATGCAACTTTTAACCTATAAAATGGATAGTTCACCCAAAAATGAAAGTTTGCTGTTAATTTACTCCAAGATGTAGGTGACTTTTTTTTTTTTTTTTCTTGAGTAGAACAGTAAAGAAGATACGGTAACACTTTACTTAAAGGCTTTATGTAAAATGCGTTATTAAGGGTTATTAAAGAGTATAATGCATTGTAATTATTCATAATTTGCTTTGTAATACATTATATCTTGTCATAAATAATTATAATTGAATTTAAAATGCATAGTCTAACAATGAATTGTTATAATGTATTGTTATAATGTATTAAGTGTGGTTACAACTATTCATGTGATTGTACAATGCATTATAAGGTGCATTACAAGGCATAATTAATGCATGAAAACTACATTTATAATGCATTATACATAAAGGCTTTAAGTAAAGTGTTACCGAAGATTCGTAGCTGAAACCATAGTCGTTGTTGATTCAAAAAATGCAAGTCAGCGGCTTCCCGTTTTTTAAAATAAAAAAGCATATCAAGAAAAACAAAATTAATACACGTGGCTCCTGACAATATATTGAGGTCTTATAAAGCAAAAACTGAACATTATTTACAACATTGTTAACCGTAATCCCTAGCCTCAGGCAACCACAAAATAATTTTTTTTCTGCAAACTTTCCGTTTTTGGTCATAGACGTGAAAATGCACTATCCAAACTTAAATGGTTGTAATTCATGAATGCTTTGGAATATAGTTGGTCTATTTTTTAAGAAGACAATCAGCAGAATATTGCTGAAATTAAATTTCATTAAATTATTAAATATTTATAGAAGTTTAAGTTTACTGAGAAGAAAATGTAATGTATTAATAAATATTTTATGTAAAACAAATATTTTTATAAAATATTTTGGAGTTCATAAAATTAAAGCCATATTTCTAACTAAGTTATGTTCCAAATTTCACAAAAATTGAGGTTCCTGTGACATTTTGTTTAGGTGCTATACCAAAAAAGCCAATGGGTGACACCCAAACTCAACTGATTTTTTAAAAAGTATTTTCCTGTCGCAAACTTGTTTCCACCACTGAATAAAAATTTAAAAAAGGTAATTGCGACTTTTTATTTCGCAATTCTGACTTTTTTCACAATTATGACTATTTTCTCAGAATTTTTGCGAGTTATAAAGTCCAATTCTGAGGGGAAATTGCAATTGTGTGTTTTAAAAAGTCAGAATTGCAAGATATAAACTCACAATTCTGAGAAAAAAATTCAGAATTGCGAGATAAAAAGTCGTAATTACCTTTTTATTTTTTTATTCAGTGGCGGAAACGGGCTTCCATACAAATGCACACATTTCTGTCACAATATTACTTCTGTCACAAATATGGACTCTTGAGACTCAGGCCTTTTCAACAATATGTTTCGTCAAGATTAGAATAAGTTTTGATAAAATATTATATTAACTTTTGTAATATGACACTTGACACAGCCCACTAGAAGGTGGAGCCAGCTAAAATAATTTAAAGTACCATTTCCATGGTAACGCAATTTCCTAGTTCAAAACCACTTTCACAGGATGAATTTTGAGTGTTCGAATGATATATCATGTTTACTAAAATCGCTGACATTCAACAAATAGAAAAGTGTATACAAATCTTAAATATGTCAACTTAGCAATTAAATGACTGTTGTGGATTGAATAACAGAACCAAACAGGTGCTCAGGGAACGATGCTGACAGCATTTGGTCATTTATCCAGAGATGATTCGCAGTGAAATGTTTTCGCTAAGACTCCCAATTATGGTGATGATGAATCAAGGGCTCTAGATTAGTCATTTTAAACTGCTCCGGACGAGCAAGCTTACAGAGAGAGAGCGAGATAGGGAAACCTGTTACAAATTTAAGGCATTGAACATTGTTGCTATAGAAACGGGAGAGACTGAAAAGAACATTGATGAAAGGAGACACAGATGTTGCTGACTGCAAAAACTGTTAATGTGGCGGGAGACACATTGATCACATTAAGTTTAGGAGTTTATCTCAAGGAGTGAAGCTGACTGAAGTTTATTCAAGTTCAACTGAAATTCCCAGTCAGTTTTGATAAATAATAGAGTTTAGTTTGTAGTACTTAACCCGGAAGAGAATTAGCTTCCCTTGTGATGAATATGATTAGGGCTGGGTATCGAGTTCGATACTTTTTAGGCACCGACCGAATTGCCTCGATACCATCGAGTATCGAAAAACGTCTTGTCGTTCGGTACCAAATTTCGATACCTAAGGGGTTAATCTCATCAGCGTCAGTGAGCCAATAAGCCTGCAGCACTTGCCGGAGTGTTCGACTAGAGGCGCGGTGCAGATCGATCATCCGCGAGAGCGATTCGAAAGCGCACGGAGCAGTCTGCTCTCTTTAGCTCTCGTGGTACTGTACTACCACCAGTATAGAGTAGCGCGGGAGCTGCGTGGAGTTCCGATCATATGCAGATGTCCGTTCATACTAACGTTACACGACCGAAAGCGCGTGTTATGTGACCATTCATGCAAACTGTAGCATCATGCTACATAAGACAATAAATAAGATTTATATTCCGCTTTTACTCAAAACTCACTTTAAACCACCATCGAGTGTTTGTAATAACTTCCGATTGCCGTCTAACAGGGCCGGATTTACGCATTGCTCAAGACATTGAGCAAATAAATATAACAAACAATAGGGTAAAAAATGACAAACTATTTCCATGTCTTCCACCTTTTTTATGTAGGCTACGGAAATCACGCTTTCTTTCTCCCAGTCTCTCTCACAGACGCACACAGTGCAGACACGCACTCGCGCACACACGCGGAGACGCGAACAAAAACTTCTTGTCAGCGCTGCCCCGCGAATTTATCAGTAAAATAGTTTCGCAGCTGAAAAGCTACATGACATTTCTCAGTAGCGAGGTTCATGAAGGTGTTTAACTTAAAGATTCGCTATTAGAAGACGCTGCTGCTGAACGCTGCTGAGAGACGCATACACGCATAAACTCTCACTCTCTCTCTCTCTCTCTCTCTCTTTAGACTGCATTAATAACTGCGTAAGCCTGCATATCAATGGCCTCTGTTATCAGCTCTAAAATGACGTTTTGGAATTTGCAACGGAAGGTTTGGGATGAGGTGCGTAAAAAAATTAGTTCAACCCACACGAGATTTCAGGACGGAAACATGTCAAATGTCTTGAAACAAATTATCTGAACAATGTCTTGACGTGTGGTTGTGACTCCAGGCCGTTAAAATTATTAGAGAAATAATGCACTCCCGGAGGTGGTTATGTGGCCACGACTATATGGAATGGTCTTTCTCAGTTCTCAAACAAATTAAGAACTATTCGATTTTTATTGACTGAATGCAAGCGCTTATTCCGATAGAAAACACTGTATCGGTTTCCACTGATTAAGAAATATTTTTGTTTGCTTGGGTGGTAATATTAGGTCTATTATATTAATAGGGAAGGGGGACCAAAAATTTGTTTTTTCTACGTCACGAAGATAGGTAAATCCGGACCTGCCATCTAATGTGTGTTTTGGCCATGTAATGTTGCTGAAATTAAATATGTTATTACCTCTGAGTCAGAGCAGCGATCATGGAAGAGAGAACACATGGAAGAGAGCTGGAAGCTGCTAATGCTCATCAGTAAATCAGTGGAAAATTAATAGAAATCATGATTCTGTCTGAGCTATGCGTTTTAAAACGAACACTAAGTAGTGTAAATGTAGCCTAACAGATGTGTAAACTGAAGACTATTTGAGCTTTAAAACTATTTGCACTGATTTTTTGTTTGTTACATTTTGTTCCTTTGTGCAGTGGCTCAGGAGATGAGTCTTTGAGTTTGTATAAACATCAACAAGCTGAAAAATAAAACCAAAGTTTTTTTGTTAGATAATGTAATCTTGTTAAAATTGATTTCATAAAATTGGTATCGAAAAAAGTATCGTTCAGGAACCGGTATCGAAGTCAAGGTATCGGTATCGGTATCGATATCGAAAATTGTTGAACGATACCCAGCCCTAATTGAGATGCACCTGTAGGCTTTTAGTGTAGCAGTTTTTGAATTATAGGTAAGATGAGACATTCATGTTTTGTTGACAGAAATATGGTCATACCTCAGACGTTGCAAGTTGCTAATAAGTTGGACTCATGGATGTGATGTGAGTTAATGTCCTTGATGAATCAAGCAACCATTTTAGTGCTTATGTGCTGTTTGTATCCCTTCATTCTTATTAGAATAAGATGCAATGCTGTCAGGAGGCTGTTATGTAGTTTTCAAAGGATTTCTGTCTGGCATTCCCTCTTTGTATTTTTGTCAGGCATCTTCTTAGACAGCCAGCAGTCAATAGCAGGACTTTAGCAACGGTGACATCTAGTGGCCAGTTAATAAAATGACACAATCAATTCCATTGCACACACAGTTTATCACATTTTCTCAACTGGTTGTGGGAGACAATATGCAGGACTTTGAAAGGAATTGATCAAAAGAGCAGACAGTACTACACTCCTGTTAGTAGGGACAATGAGATCAGGGTTTTCTTTCTTTCTTTCTTTACATAATGTCCACCTAGCATGCTTATTACATGGCCACAAACAACCCTTTGTTTGTCTGTCAAATTCTTTATTGTTTTTGAAAAGTATTTTATAGTCTATTACAGAAATGCAGTAAAACAGAAATATTATTACAATTTCAGAATTATTTTCAGAATGAATGTTCATATCAGAATGATTTCTGAAGGATCATATATATATATATATATAATTTTTTTCAAATATAATTTATTTATATTATATGTATATATATATTTTTTTCAAATGTTAATTGAATATGATGTTAAAGAATAAATTACTCACTCACACACACACACACACACACACACACACACAAAATATATATATATATTTTTGTGTGTGAGTGAGTGTAATTTATTCTTGTGATGGCAAAGCTGAATTTTGAAGGTCACATTTTTCAGAAATCATGCGAATATGCTAATTTGGTGACCAAGAAACATTTAATTTTATTATCAGTGTTGAGAACGCTTTTGCCGCCTAATATTTTGTGGAAACTGTATTACATTTTTTCAGAATTCTTTGATAGATAGAAAGTTCAAAATAACAGCATTTATTTAAAATATTATTTTATGACATTATAAATGACTTTACTGTCAGTTTTGATCAATTTAATGCATCATTATAGTATATAGTGCTGTGGTCTCAGTGAGTTTAATGCCGCTAAATGCTGTGGTGCATGATTAGACCATTACAGGTGAAGTCTGGGCTAAACTAATGATTTGGACTGAGATCAGAAGAGCATTTGAGGTTATTTATTGGGGCCTCAGTTGGACTTTAGAGAACAGGGGGAAATAAACTAATAGCCCTTCTTTTAATCTGGTGATTTAAAATTCTTCCTTTGCCAACGACTTACTGGAACTGTTAGTAAAAATGGCCATGTCATGGAAAACTGGAATTTCCCCCCCTTTCATTCTTTTAAAAGCATTAGGTGCATTAAATAGACATATTGTAACGTTCACACTGCAAACCTCCCTCCCAAAACCACCCAGATATTTCAGTGCCACTTCTATATTCGGCAACAGTGTTCATTTACATATACAACTCTTAAAGGTACAGTGGGAAAACAGCCCTAAATCACATGTTTATAAGTAAACATAACACAAACGTTTTATTTCCATGAGCATTTTTGATTTCAGCAGTGTCATAACGTCCTGGGAACAGATAGTAATATTGTAGCTCTGTTAGATGTGAATGTTGAACAACAGCGTTACATTCCCTGAAGCACTGAAGCTCTGCTTTCCATATGTTTCCCATGACTCCACACGTGTAGATGCATGGCTGTTTTTCCATGCCTGTCTGTGTGCGTTCATATCTGATGGCTTTGGTGTTTGAATGATAATTTTGAGGTCTTTAATTGCCTGGAGGGTGCAGTCTGGCTGCATCTCTTTGTGTTTGGTGGACGTTGCATTCACTCTATTTGTCAGCTGCTCGGTACATTATCTTTTTCATAAGGGACTCAGTCATGCATTAAACACTCAGAGGACCGAAAGTGTCTCTTCTGCTTCAGATGCCGTGATCTCAGTGTGCTGAGTTTATAATCTGGCCATGTAAATTAGAAGTCTGGATTATTTTATTATCAGCGTTTGAGCTGGACATAATAAGTGAAGTGACGTGACGTGGCCAAGTATGGTGACCCATACTTGGAATTAGTGCTCTGCATTTAACCCATCCAAAGTGCACACACACAGCAGTGAACACACACACACACACCGTGAACACACACCTGGAGCAGTGGGCAGCCATTCTTGCTGCGGCGCCCGGGGAGCAGTTGGGGGTTCGGTGCCTTGCTTAAGGGCACCTCAGTCGTGGTATTGAAGGTGGAAGAGAGCGCTGTACATTCACTCCCCACACCTACAATCCCTGCCGGTA